GGGGAGGGTTTGATGACATAATCCAAAGGTCTTAGGCCGGTCAGTGTCAGGTCTCAAAAGCGCCAAGCTCGCAAGTGTCTCATACCCATGGCTTCAGGCCAGGCAGCCCCAATAAGATCATCAGCTGGCTGGGACACCCCCAACCCCCAAAAGGCGAAGCTCAGAGCCCTGAGCTCGGGGAGGTGGCGCGGGAGCCGGCTGGGGCGGCCGGGGTGGGTGCGCGGCGCGGGTCGGCATCCTGCTCGTAGCGGTAGTGGTAGCCCTCCATCTGGTCCCGGCAGGCCTCGCGCAAGTTGCGCATCCAGCGCTGGATGCCGCGGCGGTTTAAGTAGAGCACCATTAAGAAGATGAGGCCGATGAGCGCCAGCACCAGCCCGAAGAAAACATAGGAGGCTTCCAGCTCCGGCCCGGGGAGTTCCAGTTCTTCCCCGCGACCGTCGGTGTCGCGGTTGGCGCAGCGCAGCCGCGCCTCGTCCAGGTCCAGGAAAGGCCGGTCGTGCAGCGGTCGCGGGGAGGCGCATCTTAGGCGCCGCGCATCGGGGACGCGCTCCGTGGCGTTGCGCAGCCAGGCCAGCAGGGAGCGCGCGGCGCAGCCGCAGCGCAGGGGGTTGTCGGCGAGCAGCAGGCGCGGCGCGGGCAGGTTCCCCTCGCGCTCGAGTGCGCGCAGCTCGTCGGGGCTCAGGCCCGTCAGCGCGTTGAGGCGCGCGTCCAGCTGCTCAAGGCGCGGCCGGCGCAACGCGGCGGGCGGCAGGCGACTCAGCGCGTTGCCCGCCAGGCCCAGGAAGCGCAGCTCGTCAAGCGGGGCGAGCGCGGCGTCCAGTGCGGCCAGCAGCGCGGGGCCGCCCCGCGCCAGCGCGTGGTTGAGCTGCAGCGAGCGCAGCGCCAGTAGCCCACGGAAGGCGCCGCCGCCCAGGGCGCGCAGCGGGTTGTGGCTCAGATCGAGCGCCGCCAGGCTGGGCAGCCCGTCGAAGGCGCCGTCCTCCACCACCTCGATGTTGTTGTGCGTGAGGCGCAGCGCGGTCAGGAGCGGCAGGCGCACGCCTCCCGCCTCCTCCTCCTCCCCGTTCGCGTCCCCGCCGGCGAAGGCGGCAGCGCGCAGCACCGTCAGGTTGGCGCCCACGATGGTGAGGTTGCGCGCGTCGGGTGGCACGTCCCGTGGCGGCTGCCGGAGCTCGGCGCCCGACGCGCAGCGCAACAGCAGCTTGGGGCTGCCGAAGCAGTAGCACTGGAAGGGACAGGGCGCGGCGGGCCGGCTCAGCGCCGCCGCCACGAGCAGCAGCCCCGGTAGCAGCGGCCCCCTTGGCTCCGGCTGTCCCGCGCGCGGGGCCATCGCGGCTGTCCCCGCATTCAGCGCCCGGCTCGCCGCGCTCACCAGTGAGTTCGGAGCGCCTGGGGGGCGGGGAGGGGGCGGGTGGGGCAAGTCCTTGACCCGGAGAGGCTGGCAATCGCGGTCGGTCTGTCCGCTGGCTGTAAAGTCCGAGGAGCCTTCACTTTCCTGGCTGGGGCGAGAGGGGTCTGGCGGGGAGCAGAGCCCCCCGCCCTGGTGCCCTGCGCGCCGGCCTCCGGCTTCCGCGGCCGTTCCGGGCTCGGAGCCGAGTGGGCAGGGTTTGCCTCCCCCCTCCCCGCCTCCTGGCCTCCTCCTCCGCCCCCAGCGGAGTCTCCGCACCCTCCTCGCCAAGAGGCGGGGTGGGAGGCTCCCGAGAATCGGCTTTCGGCTGCAGCGCTTTCTCTACCACCCGCTCTCCGAGGCTGCTGAGAAGTTTGGTTCTCCGAGGTTCTGACTTGCTGCCCCCTCATCTCTCCCATCCCCCCATGTTTAAGCTGGTTCCTTCTTTCTCCCTTTCTGGCACGTGTGGGGCGGGGCCGGACCGGGAAGACCAGGCAGGTGGGTCAGCACCACGAAGCCATAATTTGGGGAAAGGACTTTAGCGTTCCCCCTACAAGCGCAGGCAGGGCTGAGGGGTGAGCTGAGATAATTACTAATTTTTCAGCCTCTTCCTAATTTCTGTGATAGGGGAGAGGGCTGTGCTAGGAAGAGACTGGAAAATCCCCAGCCTCAGCTCCCTCCGCTACAACCCCAGTTACTTTAGGCCTGGCTGGGGTATCATCTCTGCAAGTCCAGTGGGACTGGCGTTTTCTCGACCCGTATCCCACGCCCGCCCCCGGAAGTCAGCGATACCCCCTCCTCCTGTCCCTCCGCTCTCCCCTCCCTCCCCAACTCACTGGCTGCTCTGTATGCCTGGAGTTCTTTTATCTGGTTTTCTCCACCAGGCTGGACTTCTCCACCGAGCACTCTCCCAGTCTGTGCGACCAGTGGGTGTGGTGATTCAGCTCTTTGCTGTCCCTGCCCCGGCACCCCACTAAACTGTTCTACTGGATCTCAAGGCCCCTGGGGTTGTTGGACACCATCAACTGCCCCTCCTCCCTTCAGGGTACCCCACCTAGAAATGGTGAATGGGTGGGAGGGTTTGGGGTTCCTATGGTTGGGAGAACAGGAGCAGATTTTGCAGCATGGGGGTCTCAGAGGGGGCCAGGGTTGAGCTGTTTGTAGGTTTGTTTTGTTCTGGATTTTTTTTTCTCAGAACTGGGAAGCCCCAGACCTGATTTAAAGAGACAGACTCCTGAGAAGGGAGCACTCCTGGCCTTGGCATGAATTATTCAGGCTGACACTTGATCCAGCAGGCCATTCTGGTATCAGCAGAGCTGGTTGGGATAGAGGCTCCCCTCCACCTAAGAATCAGTCAGTCTCTTTCTCCTGAATTAGGGATGGTTGTTGGTTTGACTCCTTCCCTGAGGTTATATTTAACAGATCGACCAACAGATCAATACCACTTAAAGAGAAGCGGTAGACCCTGAAGTGGCTTGGGTCTCAGGCAAGGGCCAATGTGAAGGACCAGGGCTTTTGATGCTGGGGCGGGGGCCTGGCCTCCCTTCCCGCTTCCCTCTCTCTCCCCTACCCCTACCATCACCCCCAGGTATTGGCAGATGAGAACAATAACTTGCACATGCATGATTGGACATGCATGTACAGATGTACCTGTGAACACACACATACTCATGCTCACTTGGGTGTGCATACACATGCATCGGAAGTCTTGCACAAGCTTGTGCAGGGTTCTAGGCATGCTCAGATGTGCCTCATGCAAAGACATGCTCATACGCTCATACATGTGCAGATTTGAATGCATCCTGGCTTGAGCCTGTGGATTCATAAGCACATTCATACTTCTGAGCCCATGCAGGTTCCTGGGTATGTTCTCAGAGGGGCAAGCTTAGAGACCCATGCATACGAGTATAAGCACGTGCATTCAGAGACTGGCCAACACTCTGAGTCCACTCCTGCCCTCCACCATGCCCTTGGTTCATGGAGGTAACAGGCTGTGGTGTCTTTTCTCATATGAACACAAATGCTCAGACCGATGCATTGGGGCTGGGCCCTCAGCTCTTATGCTCAACCCCTCCCCACCTCCGCTCTTGCCCAAGTCAACTCCAAGTCCCAACTCTGACATCTCCCCCAGAGGAAGGCACTAACTCTTCACTGTTTTGTTTCCAGTGGACTAGCACAAGACAGTGTACAATAAATGTTTCTAGATGAATGAATGAGTGAAAAGGTCTCTGGACCCCCTCTCCCGCTGCATAGAGCCCCTTTAGCCTCTAGCATCTGAGGAATCAGACCAACTAAGGCCAGAGCTCCCTCCGCAGTCCCTATAGTGGCTGGTTCCTGGTTGGCCAGTGGCCTCAGGGCAGTAGGCAGCCTTGATTGGGGGTGGGGGGTGGGGGTAGGGTGCTAGACACCTCAATTGGGTAAAGGAGAGCCAAAGAGAACCTATAGAATCATTTAAGTGCCAGAGCACAAGGCAGTGATTATTGAATAAATGGGGAAACAGGCCAGAGGGTCAGAGACTTGCCCCAAAGCCAGTGGTTGTCAGGGCTTTGCCTGGAAACGTGGCCCCAGGGTCTTTGCCCAGGGCTTTGTCAAGGTAATGGCTGCACCTCTGAGGGTCCTGTGCCACAGAGAAATCTCATCCAGACCCCAGGAAGCTGAGGCCAGGGACAGACGCTAGGGTGGGTCTGGTGTGACCTTGGAACTTTCTCCACCTTTGGACTGGCAGCTTCTACTACTGGAAAGTAGGTCGGCTTCTCAATTCCTATCCTTCGTAGTCCACTCAGAGGATAAAATGAATGGAAAGTGCTTCAAAATAAGAAAAGCCATATCACCTATGACCTGGGGGCCTAGCATCTATCCTGCCATGCTTTTACTGTGTGACTCTGGATGAGGCATTGCCCATTTCTGGGACTAAATAGCTGCCATGTCGTTTTGCCCTGTTCCATCTTCCTTCCTCCCAACACAGCAGATTCGTGGTAGATAGTAAAAGGAGTGAGTTGACACTTGGCTATCACTCTGTATTCCTCTGCCCAGCCTCCTCCCCACCCTCCCACCTTTGTGCAGGTGCTCCCTTCTCTGTCCAAGTTCCCCTGGAGCCAAGTCTGTGAGCCATTTGGGGGTATCTGTTCTCTGGAGGAGCAGCCCTGTTCATCTTAAGGTTGTCAGTGTTCAGCATGTAGTAGATATTCAATAAATGTATGTCAACTTGCATCTGGGGCTGTGTGTGTATTCTCTGGGGCATCCAGTGGAAGTATCTTTGCTCAGATTGCTAGCCCCACCTAGGGTGTTCTTTCTCCTTGATTGTTTCTCCAGTCCAGCCCACTGCCCCTCAGGGCTCAGCTTGAGTTCTGCCTGCTCCAGGAAGACTTCATGGCTTCCTTCTCTCCTTTGAACTTCACTTAGTGATCAGAAGGCTAGAGCTCCCCTGAGCCCCTCGTCTGTCAGTAACTGGGGGTCAGGTCTGTTCTGATTTCTGAGCACACAGCTCGGAGCTCAGCATGGAGATGGCATCAGGGAACATTTATTGAATGAAATGATGATTTAAAAATCTCTGGCTCGGTCCTCCCATCCTGTGAGGCAGACTAGGTGAGGATCCCCTGTCTACACTTTATACCAGGAGAGAGCTGCCCAGAAAGGTTAAGTGCTTTTCCCTAAGGTTGCTCAGCTGGCTGGACCCGAGCCCGACAGGAGCTCAGGTTTCCTGCTCCTCTTTTTTGCCACAGCCCTCCCCATCCTAGGCTCTCTCTCTGGGGAGTGTGACTGGGTCAGGCCCCAGGGGAGCCTGTGGGCAAAGAGCTCAGGCCCTCAGGGTTTCCCTAGGGTTCAGCATGTGAGTCACCCCAGCCCCACCCAAGCAGAGTTGTCCCTGTGCCAGGTTGAGAATCCCTCATGTCAGCCAATTCTTGAACTGACTATCCCACTGGACCCCAGAGCCCCTCTCAGCCCTCCAAGGCTCTGTCCCCTCCCCTGTTCACCTCCTTCACTTGGCTTTTCTGCCCTCTGTAAACTCCACTGAGCCTTGGTAGGGAGCCTGGAGAGGATTGGGGACTTCCTGAGGTGCCCCAGCAGGTAGCCCCATCCCCATCCGCCTCCGGCTACATTTTGTCCATCAGAGGGGTCTGCGTTACTGAAGTCCCCGGGCACATCTTTCTTTCTAGCTCTGTTTCCCTGTCTGCAAAGAGGGTGTGTATAAAGACAGGATAGGATGGTCTTGGGAGGCTTTTGAGTCCTGTGGCCCCCTGGCCTTTTAGGGATAGGTGTCATGGAGGGGAAGGTAATACTGTGATTTGCCCAAGTTGGTGCCCCTACCTTCCCAATGTATGACCTTGAACTTGGCCCCATCCCAACTAGGCAGTGGTGGTAGGATGGCCTGGGGGTGCTCCTAAGTCAGATGCTGTAGCAGCCTGTGATCCAGGGTCCCTGTATCCTGGCAGCCTCCCTTTCCGCCTGATCCTCCTTCCGATAAGACAAGCGGAGGAGCCAGGGGCAGCCGGGCTGGCCTGACATGATGGAGCTCAGTCATTAGACAGTGGGGGAGGCCCCAGGTTCTCTCCTCTTATGTAGCTTCTGCACTGGCAGGAGGGGAAAACGCCACTGCAGGCTTTGCTGTTCCCATTTCTCACTCTCCCTCCCCACACCGCCATGAGACTCAGGAAAATCCATAGGCCCAAGATTCATTTTCTCCATTGAGTCAGCAGAGGCCACACTGCTTCTGAGGTGCGGACAACTGGCTTTTAAATAACTCTTTGATATTTAATACCCTCCTCCTCCACTCTGTGGCCTGGGCCTGTGGGGGAAGTCTAGAGTAGCTGAGCTGATTGAGTCCTCTGAAAGTCATAGTGCTCCTGCCTCCACCTCAACCCTCACCACCGCCCTCATAGTAAGGAAAACCCGATTCCTTGCTATAATACTTAACACAGTGCTTCACAGTTTCTAAGTGGTGCCACAGGCTGGGTTGGTTATACCCAGTTTAGAATTAGAAACTGAGATCTTTAGAAAAGGGGAGTGACCCCATCTGGCTTTTGGTCTTGGTCTACTACTGGCTGGCTGTGTGGCTGTAAGCAGGTCCCTGTCCCTTTCTGGGCTTCTAATTTTCTCACTTGCACTTCATGGTGATTCAGCTGGTGGGTTGCCACTGGTCCCGCTAGCTGTAAAATTTCATGAATTGCTGCCTTGGTCTAGGTCTCCTCTCATAGAGCTACTTTGTGTCTCTACACTCCTGTTCTTGAGAAAGCTAAAGGGCAGAGCAGACTGAGGCTCAAGGCCAGGCAGGAGCTGGCCCCAGGATTCCAGTGTCGACTCAACTGGGTCAGGAGCAGGAGTGGGTGGGGGAAAGGAGAAAGAACAGAGTTGTACTCTTTCCCTCTCCTCCCCCTGCCTTCCTCTCCCCTGCTCTGCCCGCCCCTCCTTCTGTTCTTTTGCAGGTAGAGGTCAGGACAGACCAAGGAAAATAACTTATTTAAATCTTCGTTTCCTTAAAACTCAGGGTCTTGGCAGCTGTAGATGCAGTTTCAGAAGGTGGGAGTAAAACCCTCTTCCTAAGCGGTGCCAGGGTCAGGCTCCTGCTAATGGAAATTAGTGGGCCCGGTTCTCCTGGCTTCACCATTGTTCTGTGTCATTTGGCAGACAGGGATTGATATTTCTTTTGGTTA